GCTACATGTTGAAGCCAGTTAAAATGACCTCGTTTGCTGACCTGGTAAACGTTTGAAGTTTTCTAGCCTATATTCTTCAGGGTCTTAACCAGCAACTATTGGAGGCCATCGAGCGTTTAAACTGGAAACATCCCACCGAAATTCAGTCGTCAACGATACCAGTCGCTTTAAATGGTGCGCTTCTTTTATTGTAGTTACGCATTTATAGGACGAAATCTTATTGGAATTGCTGAGACAGGTTCTGGAAAAACTGCTGCCTATATTTTGCCCATTTTGCAGGTAGGACACCCTCTTCTTTTCGAATCTTCCTAGCAACTAATGACTGCGCCTGTGCACTACTTTGCTCTTATCCTTGCTCCCACTCGTGAATTAGCGGCACAAGTCCAAGCTCAGTTTGTGGCATTCGGTCAGTCAATCGGTTTGCATACTGTATTGCTCGTTGGAGGCACTCCGATTGCTGAGCAGGCAAACCAAATGGCTCTGAAACCACCACACATACTGGTTGGTACGTAAACATAAACTGAGCTTAACGGTGATCTAGTTACCAATTTTTTGGATAAATTATATCTTAAAATTCTTTTTAAAAGTGATGATTGTGTCTTCTAGCTACTCCAGGCAGATTTGTTGATCATTTGAAGCGTACCAAAGGATTTGACGAAATCAAGCTCAAGAATTTGCGTTTCTTAGTAATTGATGAAGCCGATCGTATGCTCGGATCAGATTTCGAATCAGTTATTGAAAAAGTTCTCATTGTGCTTCCGCCCAAACGACAGACCTTCCTGTTTTCTGCAACTATGACCGAGAAAGTAAGTTTATTTTTTATGACATGGCGTCTCCGCGGTCTTAATATATTCGAACCTGAACTTATCTCCATATTTAAGCTTGTCAGTATCGTTATTTTGATCCGCCAAGTACTCTCGTTTATCTGGCCGTTCATTTTGACACCAGAGTTTATTCTTTCCTCGCGTACAAATTTCCTATGACTCCTGGTAGTTGTAATTCTCCATTTGAAAACCCAAGTCGATATCCTTTAGCGATACATGAAAAGGAGTAAAAGATGTATTGGACTTTAATTCGAGGCAACAAAATACGGTGGTTGTTTTACAATTTGCCTCTTTGTTGACGCCAAATATTGCTTTCAGGTTGGCAAGCTTCAGCGTGTGGCTCTGCGCGACCCCGTGCGAATATCCACGCATGAGAACAAATTCCAGACAGTCGCCAGCTTACGCCAGTATGTTATGTTGGTTCCTCAGTCAGAACTTGAGTCGTACCTGATCTATCTACTTCGAACCTCCTTCTCTCCTCTCTCTACCTCCATCAAAGGCCTGGAGGCCATCAAATTGTCCACTGAAGAAAACAGCTTGGAAAATATTGGGGAAGAACGGTGAGCGTTTTTTTATCTGAACCCATAAACACCCCAGTAGCAGCTCCTCGGCATTTGGTGTTCTGTTCCAAAAACCTATTTACTGATATTTTGCTAGTAGTAATGTTTTTTTTCATCTTAGATTTTTCCTCTGTGGCCTTGGTTTCTTGTTCCGTTTGCGACAAACGCAATTCCTACTTTTTTCTTAACGTGTAGACTAAGCAACTGCATATTTTAATATCAAACACAACTTTTCGAACTTATTTCTCTGCCAATATCATTAAAATATTTCCAAAAAAGCTACTACTGCTGTCGGTTTCACTTTGAAAGATGCACAAAATTACTACGTACTTAAAAAGTATAGTTTTCGTGCAATGGAAACCAATTGCTGTCTTTGATATCATTCCCAAAGTGCTATTTCGACGATTCTCGAGTATTTTTTGGTTTGGGCTGAAAAATTTCAAATCCATATCACCAATGCTACTATTGACACCATTAACTAGTATGACCTGTACAGGATAATCCTCCAAGGATCAATATCCCAATCGATTGATTTTCCCTGGAACCAGTGGCAGGTCGATTACAAGGTCGTTTCGATTTGGGCCGAGGCATCTGACAATCGTCTAGCTGGTGCTATTCTGGCCAACTGCTGCGCACATCGTTTGGACACGTTTAGCCGGACACACCTGCGACCCGATTAACTGAGCGTGACCTTGGCCACAAAATGCGTCGGTGAGAAATGCAAAAAGGCCATTCAACAAGTGACGCTAAACGTCCAGGCGATTCAAGCAGTCACGCGAAAACACTCACCTCGACAAGTTGGCCTGAAGTGGCCTTTGGTTGATGACCCAATCGGCGAAATTATCGTGTCATGTGATAAATCTGCACGCTACAGCTGACCAAATCCGTGGCGATTTCAATTAGTGCATTTTCGCCAATACTGCCGCGTGGACTCCAGGTTAATGAATGGCAGAACTGAACCATGGTTTAAAAAGAACTCATTTCACGATGTAAATCTCAAAATGGAGATGCCGCATCAAAATCTGCGACAATAGAGTAGAATTTTTAAAAGGCTCCAGATTTACCTCCACTCACTCACTGACCAATTAGACTCGTAACATTTCGATCGCGCTTATTGGCCCAAAACAACCAACCAGATTGCAGAGATGTGCTGATCTCCCAGACCATTAACCCGAACAGGTCCTTTCTGAGCATTTATTCTGACCTTGAGGTTTACCTCAGGGAAAGGTTACTTTTTTGCCATTCAACTTCATCTTAATTAAGGGAATTCTCCAAAATAAAGGTAACGCCGCCTCAAACGAATGTTCTAATAATTGAAGTGAATAAAAATGATGACAGATTAACACTTGCATCAGAACAGTAGGCCTGCTGGTATGAATAGGACTGCGGCATCGTCTGCTACTTCCAGCGCACAGGTCAAAGATGTGCCAGCATAAATGACAAAAGTAAATTTAAACCAATCAGATGGCACAACGCAAGACTTCTGAGTGGATGCAAGAACAGCCAATCACAGAACGCGCCCCATGAATCAATTAACTCGATACTAGAACAGTTAAGGGGCGATGCGCGGAAGAAGAATCGCGAGTCAAGACAGACAAAACACAGAACGAGAGTAGTTTGGTCAAACGGGAAACGATTGCAATCGTGAACTCGTTGAAGCACCTACCTTAGCGGCCAATGCCATAGCAGTCCTCACCTCGTCTTGAATCTCCCCCACGGCGTCTTCGAGGGCCTTATCGTCGGGGCTGCCGGCTTCGAGGAGGGCTGGCACCTTCGTCTGCGTGGAGGCGCCCTCCATCGTCACCAGATGCGACTCGATCTCCTTCAGGTAGAACACCACGGAGAATTGGGTCAAAAGGGTCAACGCGGCACCACGTCGGCCAGCACGCGCTGTTCGTCCGACACGATGCATGTAGGTCTTGGCATCTAGAGGCACATCGTAGTTCACGACAAGGCCCACTTGCGGAATGTCTAGACCCCTGGTAAAGGCAACAAATACAGAACCGTCAGCAAAGCTGGGGATGACTTCGACGCCACGAAGCTGTCACCAGAAGTTACCTGGAGGCTACGTCAGTGGCGACGAGGCAGGACATGGGGAGGCGCTTGAATTTGGCCAGAGCGCCAAGTCGCTGAGCGTGGGGCATGTCCCCGTTCAACGTGATGACGGGAGTCGTGAGGAATTGGCGAAGAAGGAGGCTGATCTTATTGCTGGTTTCGCGTGTCCGCGTGAAGACAATCGACGAGCCGATGGATTCAGATCTGTCGGAAAGAGAGACGCTATTGGTTAGAGTAATGCATGCTGGCTCGCGAAGACCAATGAGATACGAGCTCAACACAGACAGCACGAAAATGACATCACATCGACAAGACGGGGATGGTGTGCTAACAACTACACAAGGAATCGACGAAGCTACAAGAAATGGGAGGGTAGCGCGTCCAAAATCGAACACAGAGGAATTAACTGCCGTGTGGGTGACCTCACGGACGATAAAACCAACGCGATTTGTCACACGCCCACCGTGCTTGCGAAACGCAACTACACCAATACCGTAGTCAAAAATGTCTCCTACGAGTGACATGGCGGCGTGCAATTAAACATCTCGTGAGCTAAACGGGTTTAGGTCGAGTGAAACTAAGTCGACAAAACCACATTCAACATTTACTCGACTAACTACCGAATTCAAACAATCTTTCATTATGCGGACATTCGCAGGGTTTTAAATGTTTTAAAAGGGGTTAATTGGTTGTGATTATTCTTTCAAAAATAGTCAATTAGAGGAGATAATTATAGCCGATTAATAATAAACATCATTGCCAAAGAATTTTTTGGCACAAAATAACCACACGTATTCACAAGACTAAGAACTTGTAATGGGAAATTGTGCTGTTTCTTCCCAACATCTCAAATTTGCACTCATTTGTGAGTTAGTACCTACCAAAATAGTCGCTTTTTTTAAAAAACCGTGTTTCACGCAAACAACAGAGAACAATCCTGATTGGTGGATATAACATCTAGGTCTGTGAGTCAGCAAAGGCTAACCAATCAAAACAGTGACGTGGAGTACGATTTTAATTGGTGGATGAAAACATCCAGGACTAGGAAATTGACCAATAAAATGCAAGTAAAACTACTGTTGCCAGCATTGAGTTTAAAAAAACCACAGAAAAATCGAATACTACAAGTAGTCGAGGTAAACTGATTAGGCTAAGATGTGAGTGAGGTTTAGTTCGCGAAGTAACCGTCTGCTTCCTCAAGAAATGATCTACCACTGGTTCAAAAAAGAGGAAGTGTAAACTTAAAATGTGCACGGCAACAGACAGCAATAGCAGAAGACGCGCCATTCACAGTAGGCTAAATTTGGCGACACATTGCATAAGCACCAAGCCACAAGCGTCGGACACTGCCAGTAAGGCATGGGACTTAGCCACAAAAAAGCCACTAGACTCATCAATCATGGACAAAAGGCAGCACGAATTGCACCACAAGTCGCCCAAGCTGGTGTCCCAAGCAGGCGATTTCATTGCGCAGGAAGTTTGAAGAGGGCTGGCAGAAGTGACATTTGTTCGAGTCCTAGCGTTTTAGATCAAGATAACTAGCGATTCTGCAAGACCATTTTAGGGAAAGGCGCTAGCCAACAAGATGCCAGTGTGAATGGACAACAAATGTGTTTCAAATGTGGGAGAGTTGTCGTCGCATTAGGTCTTTTCAAAAAAGGGAAATAAATAATTTGAGATAAGGGTGTCGACGTCAACTGCACAATATCTCAAAGTATACGTGTTTTTTTACGTTGAAGATGAGAAAGCTAAGCGTAAAATGGAAGACGCGGCGGCAGTCTCCATGCAGACACTACAAATCTCAGTTTGTAGTGTCACTTAAGACGTTTTTTCATGTCTAGATGGCTGTCATCGTTTTACAGTATAAACATTTCAGACATGCAACAAATTAAATCTTGGTCATTTAAATAACAACGGCGAGCACGGTACGGCTGAGCAATCTAAGATCGGATTGGGTGATATCGGCCAATGGCCGCGATCAAGGTGTGATGACTCTAATTGGATAGTCAGTGGGTGGAGGTTAACCTGGAGCTTTTTGAAAATTCTGGTAAAATGAAACATACGGTGGTGATTTCTACGGGAAGCTACAAATATTCATTTTGGTGGCACTTAAGACGTTTTCACGTCTAGATGGCTGTCGTCTTTTTATCGTATAAACAGTTCAGACATGCAACAGGTTAATTGTTGGTCATTGAAATAACGACGATAAGCAGGGTGCGGCTGAGCAATCTAATTCTTGATTATGTGATTTGGACCAATGGCCGGGGAGTATCGTGTGATGATTTCAATTGGTCAATCAGTGAGTGGAGGTAAAACTAGAGCTTTTTGAAAATGTAAACCTATTATCGTCGCAGATTTTGGGATTTACATCAATTATATCTCTAATCATAGCTAAAAGGGAGGCCGGTTTCGTGAAATGAGTCCTTTTTAAACCATGGTTCAGTTCTGCCATTCATTAACCTGGAGTCCACGCGGCAGTATTGGCGAAAATGCACTAATTGAA